TCTCTGGTTGTGGATAGCATTTTACATTGTGAATCTGTTGGAGTTATCTTAGATCCTTGCATTGCTGAGAAGAGCTAAGTCTATCAAAGTCAGTCATCGCACAATGTGGCTGTTACAGTGTACAATGTTCTCCTGGTGCTGCTCACTTCACTCAGCATCAGTTCATGTAAGTCTTTACAGGTTTTTAAATTAATTTAGGTAGAATTGCCATTTTTATTATGTTAGCTTGGCTTACCCATGAGCAGCTGATATTTTCCAGTTATTTAGATCTGACTTTATTTGTGTGAAAAGTGTTTTGTAATTGTGTTCATATAGTACCCGAGTTTCTTTTGGCAGGTAGACTCCAAAATATTTTGTAATGTCTACAGTAACTTTAAGTGGAATTTCTCTTTCTTCTCTTGCTGTTGAGTTTTATTAGTAATATATAGAAATGTTGATGACTTATGTGGGTTTATTTCAAATCCTGCAACTTGGCTGAATTTGTTTATTATTTGCTAGAGCTAACATTTCTATTACAATATTGAATAATGATGATAATGAACATCCTTGTTTCACCCTGGATCTTATTGGAAATGCTTCTAGCTTATCTCTGTTACATATAATGCTTGATGATGGTTTTAGGTAGATGCTACTTATCATTTTAAGGAAGACTCCATTTATTCCTATGATTTCTAGTGTTTTTAATAGAAATGGGTGTTACAGTTTATCAAAAACTTTTCCTGCATCTGTTGAAATAATCACATGGTTTCTGTTAGTTTTGTTGTTGATATGGTCAATTATGCTGATAGTTTTCCTGATATTGAACCAGCCCTGCATTCCTGGTGTAAATCGTACCTGGTCGCAGTGTGTTATTCTCATGATAAGTTGCTGTGATCTTTTTGCTAACATTTTATTTAAATTTTTTGCATCTGTATTCATTAGGGAGATTGGTCTATAATTTTTTTTCTCTGTTGTAACTCTTCCCAGTTTAGGTATCAGTACCATATTAGTGTCATAAAAAGAATTTGGTAGGACTTCTTCTTTGCCTATTTTCCCACATAGTCTATATAGTATTTGAATTAATTGTTCTTTAAATGTTTGATAGAATTCACTTGTAAATCCATCTGGCCCTGGAGATTTTTTTTTCCTAGGGAGTTCGTCGATGGCTTGTTCAGTTTCTTTTTCTCAAATGAGATTATTTAAGTATTTTATTTCCTCTTCTGTTAATCTGGACAGTTTATATTTTTTGTAAATATTCATCCATTTCACTAAGATTGTCATTTATTGGTATACAGTTGGGTCAAATAGCTCCTAATTATTGTTGTAATTTCCTCTTTAGTGGTGATGAATTCACCCTTTTCATTTTTGATACTGGTAATTTGGTTTTCTTTTTTTTTTTTAAATCAAATTAACCAAAGGTTTATCTATTTTATTGTTTTTTTCTTACAAAGCCAGCTCTTAGTTTTATTTATTAGTTCAATATTTTTCTAAATTTCAATTTTATTAATCTCTCCTTTGGTTTTCATTATTTCTAATTTGGTATTTAATTAGGGAGTTTTAATTTGCTCTTTTTCAAGCATTTTTAGTTGCGTGCCCAGTTCATCGATCTCTTCTTTCTCTATTTTGTTCATGTAAGCATTGAGAAATAAAACTTCCCCTAAGAACCACTTTTGCTGCATCCTATAAGTTTTGGTATCTTGTCTCATTATTGTCATTCTCTTTTATGGAGCTATACCACTTGGTGCATATATGTTTAGTAATGATATTACTTTATTGTCTGTGGTGCCTTTTAGCAGGATATAGTTTCCTTCCTTATCTCTTATGTTTTTTTTTTTTTGCTTTTTGGTGAGGCAGTCGGGGTCAAGTGACTTGCCCAGGGTCACACATCTAGTAAGTGTCACGTGTCTGAGGCCGGATTTGAACTCAGGTCCTCCTGACTCCAGGGCCGGTGCTCTATCCACTGTGCCACCTTGCTGCCCCTCCTTATCTCTTTTAATTAGATTGAAAATAAGTATCATTTAGGGGCAGCAAGGTGGCGCAGTGGATAGAGCACTGGCCCTGGCTTCAGGAGGACCTGAGTTCAAATCTGGCCTCAGACACATAACACTTACTAGCTGTGTGACTCTGGGCAAGTCACTTAACCCCATTACCTAACCCGCCTCCCCCCCAAAAAAGAAAATAGTTTCATTTAAATGCCACTTTTGGGAAGTGTCTTCTGTATGCTTCTCTATGAACTGTGAATTTGAGTTACAAGGAATAGAATCATAGATTTACACTTGTGGTATATACATTTAAAAAAGCCAAGTTGGAAAATATGAACACATTTTAATGTGATAGTGTCTGAAAATACAAATCAATAAACTGACATCCATGTAGACACAAAAGTGTGTAAGCATGAAAAGAATAGCAGGAGGATTCTGTGTTCTCAAAAAGTATGAAACACTTTTTTATAATTCCGGTATATAAAAAGCACTTTGTTTCTAGTGACACTTGGACAACTATGTAACTTTTGTTGGGCTCATTTATCTCAACTGTAAAACAAGAGGGTTGGAATAGATGAATTCTAAAATCCTTTCTAGGTCTAATCTATGATCTTATGATAATGTGATTAATTCAAATCTTTAACTTATTTTTTATTAAGTTGACGTGGCCCCTCCACCAATCCAGTTTACAACATATCTGAAATTTAGTAGGTAGTTTTGGAGAGTTGCTGTGGCCATAACATTTATCACCATGTGGTTGACTTTGTGGTGAGCTGACCTGAATTTAGTTAGGTTGCTCCTTAGATCATCGACATCTGTTCTATCGACTGGCATACACTGGAAACCTTTTCAGCTTGGTGTGAGACCTGCCCCAATATTTATGCTTTGCTGACATAGCCTTTGAGAACCCCAGAATCACCTCCACATTATGAGCAATTACACATTTATCTACAGTGTTACCTAGACATAGTAAGTTGGTTCATTAACCTAAGTAGATGAAAATTCCCTAGCAAGTTTGTTTGAAGGAGGATGACTCTCATCCCTTTGGGAAGATCACATTGATTCTCTCTTATCTTGTCTCATGTGCCAACTTAATGTGGTCTGACAATTGGGTATCCAATAGAAGCCTACAACTTTTATCTTGAAAGTCAGAATCAAAGAAATGATCGTGATTGCTAAGTTCCATCCTCTTATTTGGTAAATAAGTAGAATGCTCTGATTGTCTTTGATCTGTACCAAAAGGAGATCTTAATCTGAGGTCTGTGAACTTAGAACAATTTTCTAAGTATTCTAATGTTAATTGATTCTTTTTGTAATCTTATATATTTTGTTTTACGCATCTAAAAACTTATTCTGAGAAGGGGTCCATAGACAGCCAAATTTGGGCCTTTGACACAAAAAAAGAACTAGATCCTCAAACCTTGGATCGTCTTTGGGAAGCCCTGTGGTTATAAAGCTAATACAAGGGGCATCTAATTGTTAAAATATCTCCTCTCTTGGGAACAGAAGGGAGTTGGTGCATGGCATTTTTGATTAGGAGTGCTTTCTCTGTTTCTGCCCTCTGTAGAGCCTCATCAGTGGAATAATGGAATTAACTTTTTGCCTTTGGTTATATCTGTAAATAGATGGGGTAATGGTGTAGTTACTCCTTTGGTATACAATACAGGGCTAGACACAGAATCATCCGAATATTTCAGTGATATGTGAAAAAATTCAGCATTACTGCTATTTTTTGTGGGTCATGTTATATCTAAAGTATACATAATTATTGTACAATATTACTTTTTTATAATTAATAAGTGGATGCATTCTAGTGACACTCTAGGAGGTCAGAGAAGGGGAATTATGGTATGAATATGTAATTAAATGCAAATTAAAATATAGATGTGACTAATAAAAAGACCAAGACCTCAACATTGATAACCTCCTCCACATTTGCTTCCTTTTATATAGAATGTAGTAATAATTTCTAATTGAATAGCATAGTTGAAGCATATCATTTATCCTTTAACTCAATCTTAGTTCTAGTCTCCTAACACTTTAGAATAGAGTGGAATCCTTGATCAGGTACCAATGACCTGTTGTACAAACCCTATTATTTGTTTTTCCAGTAACTATGTGGCCCACCAATGTCCTTTGATCTCCTTCAAAAGGAAAATTCTATCCAATTCAGTTAGCATTTTTATGTGCCTTTAGGTGAGGCAAGCTCAACCCACTTGAGACAGGGAAGGAAAAAGGAGGTGCATATGAGGGAGAAGGAGAGTAGGAAAAGAGAGAATGAAAAGAATGAAAATGAGTGAGAGAGGGGCAGCTAGGTGGCACAGTGGGTAGAGCTCTGGCCTTGGAGTCAGGAGGACATGGGTTCAAATCTGGCCTCATACCCTTGACACTTAATAGGTCTGTGACCCTGCGCAAGTCACTTAACCCTGATTGCCTCACCAAAAAAAAAAAAAAAAGAAAAAAAAAAAGAAAAAAAAAAAAAAAAGAAAATGAGTGAGAGGGAAGTGCTATCCACCTTCTTTATTGAAAGATGAAGGGAGCTGAGGCTTTAGGGAGTCATCTTATTCCTTGTTGGGCCAGGCCCTCATTCAACCAGCTGGTGAATGGTTCCTCACAACAGATACTGTATGTTTTCTTCCTTTATTCTCTTTGCACTTAGGTTTCCTTGATTCTTTGTGTTACGAAACTTTTTTTTTGTTTCAAAACATGTTTGACTATTACAAAGAATCTTTTTTCATAGAAGAGTTATTAATTGGCATGCATGAATTTGTTTTCAAGAGGCTGCTGTATAGAAATTATTCTTTGGACAATGAAATTCCACCTGTAGTGCATGCAGCATCACTCTGATCTCTGTTCCTGATTCCTCGTTGCTATTGGTTAGAAAAGGTTTTAAAATTTTAATATCTGATCTCATATTTTATCTATCATATCAAAGATATATACTTTAATTTTACTTTTGAAATTTTAATGTGTTTTCTGAGTAAGTTAATTATGATAGTTTTTTTGAATAGGTTTAAAATCTCTTTCCTAAATTTGTAGGTTTTCTTGAAGAAATGAAGATTTAAGAGAGATTTATCTACCAAATCAAAAGATGGGAGCAAACAGCAGCAGCATCAGTGACCTTTCGGAAAATGAATATCTAAAAAGGTTATCTGGAACAGAATCTATCTCCGAGAATGACCCATTCTGGAATCAACTTCTTTCTTTTTCTTTTACTACACCAACTAACAGGTAAGATATTTCCTAAAGTTTTGAAGACTTAGATCAATGGGCCACATTTTTTTTAGTCATCTGTGGAATAGTGTCAATAGATCATGAACATTACAATTTGAAATAATTTCATTTGGGCTTGTGAAGGTTTCTGTGAATATTAAAGTACATTGTTCACGTATAATTATTTTAACTTAAATTGTATTTTTGCTATTTGTTTTGTATGTAAAAGTAAACAAAATAGGTAAAATGCTTCTTGGATTTCTCAAATTTTATGTTGTCATTTGTACTTTTCTTTGTGGGATCTACTTTAATAAGAAGAGACTTCATTATGACGAGGAAAAAGGAGAGTTGCTTTAGTGTTACTTTGACTTGATAGGGTTGAAAGAAAAGAAGTGATCAATCTGTTCTCTCCATGTTTGCTATGATTTAGTAGCAGATACTGCCTGAATTAGGGCTTTTGACTGCTGAATTAGGACTGTCATTGTGAGTTGTTAAATCAGAAAGAGACTTGATTAGTTTCTCCTCCCCATTTCCTACATTTGACAGCATTGGCTTCTCCAATTCACTGTACATGTTAGGAAAAGAAGGGAAAAACTCATGTGTAAGTGTTAGGTGTCCAAAAGAATTTTATTGAAGCATATTCTGTGTGACCAACGAAGACTTTAGGAGGACTGATGAGGAAAGGTTGAGAGTGACTGTGGTCTTACAAATTAGTATCCAACTTGAGTGTGGCAGCTTTGGAGAGGGCTTCCCAGCTTTCCTTTGTTATACTGAAAAAGTCCTGTCTGATATCTGTTAGATGGGGTGCTTCCTTCTTTTCCAAGGTTCCAGCATGGTGATTGGAAGGGAACAAAGTGTTATCAATTACCTTCCATTCCACATTTACACTTTGGCATTTTTGAATACTGAAGTTCGTTGAGGGGATAAGAATCATAGGATTATAATACTCCTATCTCTCCCTTCTCCCATTCAAGTCAGGCTAATAAGGGGGATGTGGTGTATCTTATCAATGATCCCAGGTACTGTGGGGCTATTTGGGAGCAGTTGGACACTTATCTGTGAAGCTATAATTGGGAAGACAAAGGAGACCTTCCTTCCTGATTTTAGATATCAAAGCAAAAGAAAGCAGGAAACACAACCACACAGGTATACAGATTAGTAACTAATTAATATGGGCATGAGCCTTCCTATATTGGAGAGAGAACCTCTAAATTGCTTGGCCATTGCCAGGAGGATGTTAGTTTGTTTTCTCAAATTAGGATCAAAAATATGGTGCAGTTGCTTATAGAATTTTCCTTTGGAATTTTACATATGAATGCTAATTCATATTCTATAGGGGAGCAGAGAATAAAATTCCAATACAGAAATACAGCATAGGGAAAGTGACCTTAATTATAGTGGTATATTTTTTGTATGTAAATATTGTAAGTTAATTCAAATTCTCCAAAGGGAAGGATGGCACTTTCAGTTACAGAATTCTGAGAAGCAAACATATCCATGTACATATCATAAGAAGGATCATAAAGACCATAAACCGATCACTATGGAATAACTCATGTCAGTTATAGTTTAACGGGCTGTATAACCCTGCTCAAAGAATGTTTTGGTTTTTTTTTTTTGCTTGTATGACAAATCAGTGTTCAAAGTTGGGAAGGGAAAAAAGAGCTCCCATATAAAACTTACCTATCCAAATGAGATTTATTGAAAGAGATTCTTTATAGGTTACTGAGGCCTCAGGAGGACTGGATTTGGGGCCTATTGCAAGTCTTTGAGCCTGTCAATTGAGGTGGGCCTTTGGTAGATAGTTCAGGGTCACTTGTGATGTCAGAAGAGCTTATGGGGAAGCTGCAACAAAGATGGCTTATCAGTTTTCCCTTTTATACAGAAAAGGGCTTGATATGTATCAGTGATGATTTGCCAGATTTCTTCGAGTTCTAGGATATATGAACATTGTAATTGGTTGAGGGAAGAAAGAAATACAGTTTAGCTTCCATCATGGTTAACTTTATAAATATAGGGTATCTCAGAAGTTTGTGCAGTTTTAAACTACCAAAGCTTAGAGCTTAAAAAAAAGTTTTGCTCATAAGGTATTAATGCTTAAAACTGTACAACGACTTTGGGAACACTGTGTATATTAGGCTGGTTCTCATGGCCTTGTCTGGATTTGGCAAAACATTTATCTGGAATCTTTCTGGAGAGCAGACTTACTGTCAGCCAAGCAATTGAATACTGCAATATATCTAGAAATCGTGACCCCTAAATTTTTTTGGATGGCTTCTTCCAGAAAAGAACAGATTGTCAGAGTTGGGTAGCTAAGGGGTTCTGGAGAGGTCCTTCCCATGTAATAAAGAAAAATATTTAAGCAAAACTGCTGACATAATGACTGTGTCCAACAGAGTATATACAGTATTCCATGTTTTTAGTCTTCTTTTTGCTGAGAAGAAAGTTTATTTTTTATTTTTTGTTTTCTGTTCTTTTACCCTAATATTGGTCATTTCATTTAGTGTGATTGAACTCAGATTTAGATCGCTGAAGATAACACCCTTTCAACTACTTAAGCATTATTCATTTTAATGGAGATATTTCTAAAATGCATTATATATCTCCTTTATTATATACTTTCTTAAGCAGAAGATACTAAACCAGGGGTGGGGAACCTTCAGCCTTAAGGCAACATGTGGCCCTCTAGGTCCTCAAGTGCAGCCCTTTGACCGAATCCAAACTTCGCAAAACAAAGATTCAGTCAAAAGGTCGCACTTGAGGACCTAGAGAGGCACATGTTGCCTCCAGGCCGCAGGTTCCCCACCCTTGCACTAAACCATTTAAATATTTCTTAATTATTTAGGATGGAGAGGCAGCAGGGTTAGCACCAGCCCTGAAGTCAGGAGGACCTGAGTTCAAATTCGGCCTCAGACCAAACACTTGCCACTTACTAGCTGTGTGACTCTGGGCAAGTCCCTTAATTGCCTAAAAAAAAAACAAAAACCCGGGAAGAGCTGGGTTCTTGCTTCTGGCCTGTACTAGCTGGATGACCCTGGGCAGTTTATTCAGTTTGCTTCTCAGTGTGCTCAGTACCTCTCTAAAGCTATAAATTGCTGAGAAGGTGCTGACTGACCCACATTGGTAGTTCCTGTGCCAATGAAATCACAGGTCCAGGCCCAAATCTCAACTAGTTTACAAAGCAAAGGCAATACTGATGATAAGTACAGGGTAATGACAGAGACTGAGAGAAGGTGGAACTATTTTATCTATGGTTTCTTTACCAAGGAGAATGATTTTCAGACTGAAAAGTAAAGGACACAAGAGGTTAACAGGAAATTGGAACTCAAGATGAGCAAAGATATGGCAAAGAGAACTTCTAGGGGTCCTCAGCAAGGTCAAGTTGTCTGACCTGGACACACAACACTACAGGATTGTGAAGGAAATTTTGGATGTGATTGCTGCTGAGCTGTGGGAAGATAGGTAAACATTGTCCTGATTTTCCAAAAAAGGAAGAAGGTAGATTTTTTTTTTTATGGTAATTTTTATTTATTTTTGTGTTTTCAACATTTACTTCCACAAGATTTTGAGTTCCAAA